GCATGCTTAGAATTTTTTTTTCTGGTCTTGTATATTTATCTGCCTATCACTTCAGACCCTCCATCTTTCCTTTGCTTGATGTCATTCCACTCGGTGTATCAATGTTTGATATATATAATGTCCTTCCCCTTTGCACCATTTCCAATAGAGAGCACCTTCGCCTGCGTGAAATGTTCAACGGTGGCAATGAACTCGCAGACACCCTTCGGTAACGGCTCTCCCGGCTTGCGCACTTCGGCAGCGATGGGGGTGCTCTTCCAGCCGTCGATGAGCTTCACGATGGGGTAGCAGTAGCGCAGGGCCGCCTCACCCGGCACCGCCTCACCGGCCTTGATGATGTCACCGTTCTTGTACTCCCGCCCGTTTATGTCGAACACCTTGTTGTCCTTGCTGTAGTATATGTAAGCGATGGTGATGCCGATCTTGTCGTAGTCGTCACCGCGGTCAAGTGCAGAGATGGAAAGGTAGGGCCCCTGCACCGAGTTCACTTCGAAGTGCAGCACACAGTCGAAGAAACCACAGATGCGTGGCTTCTTTGTCACCGCGCCACACTCGTTGTGGTGACGCGATGAGGCAATTGCCATAGCAACGCCAATGTTATACTTACCGCTTGCGTCTTCATACTCCAATGGCTCCCATACACCGTTGAACTCCTTTGTGCCCGCGTGGAACGCCTTGGTGAAGAAAAGCCGCTGAATACTGTCAAAGTCAACGCACATGTTCTCTGGGAGGTCCTTCAGTGTCTTGATATTCTGCGCCGAGAAGAAATCCTGTGGGATGAAACTGCTCGGATTTGCTCCGATGCCAACACGACTGCTGCCAGGCGCCTTGTGTACGTTGATCACCAGCGATTTATACAACTGAAAGTTGAACTGTGCCGTCGCCAGCAAGCCGCTCGCTGTTGTGTCAGCAGAAGTGGTACCTTCCCAGAATTTCTCACGCGCGTTACTCAACCAGTATGACTGTGGACCTTCAAGCAGCACCTTTTCGCCACGTGCCAGTGCAGAGCGCAGCTCGTGTGCCACATCGCACCGCGTCGGGAAAGCCGTGTTCTTCTTCACACGCTCCGTGTACAGCTGCACGAGGTATTCCACCTTATCGGCCGCTCGCGCAAATTCAACAACATGTGGTGGCACACGTTGCACGCCATCACTGTTTTCCTCTTCACAGCGTCGCACCACATCTGCATCAGACAATCCTTTGACCTTCAGATGGCCAAAGTATGTCTCCATATCCTTTGCGAGACGTGTTCGAAGCACAGCCGGGTCGTTAAAGATGTGATCCAGCCGAATGGCACGCTTTGTAACCTTAGAGGCGTGAATCGGTGCCATACCCTTCAACGTGGAGGAATTCGGAGCAGAGCAGAGCAGGTCAAGCAGCTTGTGGTACGGCGTTACCACAGTTGCATTGCCGATGAACAGGCAGTTCTTGTATGACACCTTCGCCTCAAGCAGCTGGCTGATCTCCTTCTCCATGAAACTAATCGGATCCATCACACACTCCGGCCCCACGTAGTTGCGTTTTCCCGCCGTGAGCAGCCCTGATGGAGCGAGGTTGAAGACAAATTTACGTCCTTCGTCATCGTACACTGTGTGACCGGCGTTCTCACCGCTGTTCACGCGTGCAATACATGTGCACGACGGGTGACGCGCAACGGCGTCGACTGTCTTTCCCTTGCCCTCATCGCCGAAAAATGCGCCCGCCACCATGATGACTTGGTGGCTCTCAATGAGCGGGTGCAGCGCTTCCGTCACAGACGCCTCTGCGTAGGTTGGAATCTTGGTCGGCTGCTTGAGCTCTGGGATGGGCTTCACCTTCTTGAGGTGCTCATAGACCGCCCGCTGGGTGCTGTTCGTCGTGTACGTGTAGTCGTGCGTGGTGGCACCCTTCTGCGGTGTTGGCGGTGCGCCCCCCGCAGGGCTTCCCTCTTCTTGATAACCTGATTTCTCGCGCGACGTTTCACAGCCCGTCATGAGCAGTGTAGCCTTCGATTGGTCCCTTTGCTGAATCTTCCCCGGCAGCACACACACATACACAGACAGATGCGCGTAGAGAAATGGAGAGAAAGAGAATTTAAAAAAAAGAGACACCAGCTGGCAACCACAGCAAAGCAAGATGAAAAATCGAGTGTAGAAAGAGCCAATGCAATGAATTCACCTCGGCTAACAACAATGCAAGCTCCATTTGTATCTAGGAAGACACGAGAAAATAAATAAAAAAATTAATAAGCGAAACATGAGGGGGATAAAGGCGTACATATATACTTACACGGCATTTTCATTACATATATATATATGCGTACATATGCCCCGTCGGAATGCCGGTGCCTTAAATTGGGACTCAAACGCCCTCCTTCTGTGTTTTTTTTCCTTTTTTCGTCACTGTAGGGCCTAGGGTGAGCTGGAGGAAGGAGCCACGACAGACAGAGAAGGGCAAGTACGGCGGCCCCTTTGTCTCCCTTCTGCGGGTCATCACATTTGTAAACCTTTACACATCACTTTCAATGAATTTCCACAGTAAACCAAACAAGTGACAGAGTACTGGCCATGTCACAACAACAAAACAGAAAATACGCTCCATCATATCCACAGGAAGAGGCAGAAGACTGTCATAACGTGTTAAACAAGAAATCAAGGCAAAAAAAGAATCAAAGCAACATGAGACCTTCACATAAAACGGGTACCTTTAAATAATGAAGAGACAGAGAAAAGAAAATAAGAAAGGGGCATTCAATTTAGGGCATTAAAAGACAATCGGAAACGCAAGTAAAATGCGCATTCCCACGAAGAAATCTAAACTTCGCCTTGCATGTTTCTTCCATTCATCAAACGACGCTGAGCGGTAGCCTGTTTCAAGCCGCCGCCAAGCGATTGCTGCTGCATGCCGGGTTGTTGCACGCCTCCACGGAAAGAAGGCTGGCGCTGCATACCGGGCTGTTGCATACGGGGCTGTTGCATTCCGGGTTGCTGCATTCCTGGTTGTTGCACGCCTCCACGGAAAGAAGGCTGGCGCTGCATACCGGGCTGTTGCATGCCTCCACGGAAAGAAGGCTGGCGCTGCATTCCGGGTTGCTGCATTCCTGGTTGTTGCGGTTTGCCTCCACGGAAAGAAGGCTGGTGCTGCACGCCGGGTTGTTGCATGCCTCCACGGAAAGAAGGCTGGCGCTGCGTTCTAGGTTGCTGCTGGATACCGGGCTTTTGAATGCCTCCACGGAAAGAAAGCTGGCGCTGCATGCCGGGTTGCTGCATACCAGGTTGCTGCACGCCAGGTTGTTGCATGACAGGTTGTTGCATGCCGGGTTGTTGCATGCCAGGTTGCTGAACGCCGGTTTGTGGCATGCCGGGTTGTTGCATGACAGGTTGTTGGATGTCGGGCTGTTGGATGTCGGGCTGTTGGATGCCGGGTTGTTGCACGCCAGGTTGTTGCATGCCGGGCTCTTGGATGCCGGGTTGCTGCATGCTGGGACCATCCAAGGCAGGCCTGGACACTGAGGCTCTTCGGGCCAAACGTTTCCCCGCAGCCTCCCTACGCCTAGCATCCTTCTTACTTTGCCATAAATAGATAGCCACAGCCACCACCACTGACACAAGCACAACGGACACTACAACGACGACGATTATAACGACATCGGGACCAGAAGACTCCTCTTCTACGACCGTGAGTGTGGGCGACACATCACGAAATGTGCCCATGTTATATACGTCAACCTCTTCTTTGGGGATAGTGCGCGGTGAGGCCGCGGAAGAATATCCAGAGAACTTTCTTTTTCCTCTTATCCAGTTTCCCACACAACAAAAAAGGAAAATTGAACGGTTGCAGAGCACAGAAAGATAAATCGGCACAGATACCATTCACCATCACTCTTTGCTCAGGCTTCAATGCACACCGGTGATCACCCCACAAGCCGTCATCGTGACAGAGACCACAGAAAGTCGCAGAAGCCAGTCAGGTCCCTCCTTCATAAATGAGGGGGAAGGAAGAAGGGCTCTCACCGCTAAGATTTCAAAACCTGGTAATAGGCAGATAGACAATTCCTCTACTCGTAGCAGTATCTATCAGCCGGTTTGAGCTCGGGAAGGATACCACGAGTAAACAGATTAGGGTCCTTGAAACGCTCTGTGGCCTTCGGCACATGCATCACACGTTCACGCCATAACGGTTCTTGTAGTAGGTCTACCTCTGGTTTGTAGTGCTTATTCGCAGCCACCATATTCGACGCTATACCGCGGATAGCAAGTGCATTCCGCATTTGCCGGCTTCGGTAGATCTTTTGGATGTCCGGCTCCACATCCAGCCACTTGTAGCCGGGATGAATGCGACTCTCACGGATTGTCATAACACCCTTTGTCGCTGCGTAAAGCGTGAATGTGTTCGGATCCATACGCACATTTCGCCCAGGGCGGTACTCCGGTAGGCGTGAGTGACGGTCCTGCCCGTAGCGCCGTCTCTGCTCCTTCAGCTTTTCAATGGGTGTCACTGGGGTACCAGGGATGACGTGGAACAACTTCGCCTTGCGACGCGGGTGCCCTGCCTGATTCTTGGCATTTCCCGCCGTGACTTTGCTGGCGAGAAACAGGGGCGAAAGGCGCATCATTGTGGCGTTCTTTACACCGTACTAGAGCTATGCAGCGACTACACTGTGAAACTCAATAAGAACAATGCCGCTCCCTTCCAATAATAATAATAATAATAATTAAGAAAAAAATAAATAAATAAATAACAATAATCAACACAGCAGTATCTCTTTGGTCCTTATCACATCCACGCTCTAAAGCAACGAATGGTTTTAACACGAAGAAGCCAGCGCCACTCGGTTTTTTTTGTCTCTGTTTAGACAGGCTTGGCGTATTTATTCCCAACACGCCACGCATACAACTGCGTATTTCAGGTTTATCATTTCCTCTACAGGGAGATGCTTCCTTTCCGTGCAGCTCGACACCAGTCCACGTGTGTGTGTNGGGGGGGGGGAAGGCGACGCACATGGCGGACGGTCAACATGAATAAATGCACATCTTCCCACCTTCACAAACCAAAAAAAAACCCTTCGCCTTCTTATTCCCCCAGTGTCCCATGCCAACAGCATCCCCACTCAATGAAACCACAAAAACAAAGACAGCATAGAACACGTATACAACCCGCTTCATACTCCGCTGCTCGGAAAATACAAATAAACCAAAATTCGAATGAACCCTCCTCCCACCCCCCCAAAAAAAGATACCTTCTTAATAGACTCAAAAACGCACTTTATTTTCCACAAAGAGTCACACCGGTAAATGTAACGAGCAAACGCACGGAGACACAGCATATACTCGTCAACCATTATGAGGTCATATAGAGGGTGCCAAACGACTACCTGCACCCCC